ACAACTACTAGTTTCAGTAGTGTTCTTAGCTGCGAGGATCTTCTAATTTCAAACAATGAACTCTTCCCCAAAAGGTTTTCCTTACCGAGCATTCCCAGAAAAGATGGATTAATGTTTCCTTCTCTGTTTTGCACAAATAACAGAGAGCAATCTCCGAAATACCTATTTTAGATAGAAAAGAATTCGTTGCTATTCGACTGTGGAGAAATTTGAACTGGAAGTTCCTTATCTTAGTACTGAGCGTACACAACTTTGGTAGTAAATAAATCGATCTCCAGCTCAAATCCTCCACCACTTTAAGGTCACAGTTCTTTACCCATTTTTCTTGACTCTTTTGGGGGCTAGTAGAATTTTTGTGTATTAGAATAATTATTAGAATTTATCAATTGCTTTGTTTTTCTGAAAGAAGTTCTTTTAATTACTTGTAAAGCTCTGTAATTACCAGATAAGAGCTAATTAGACACAATCTTTTTATTGTTTTTGGTGACAGAAAGCTATGGGATCAATTGACTATCAATTGTCTTTTCTCGATTTTTAAGCCGCTTATTGTGACAAAACTCTTAAAGATATTAAGTGCGACTAACGATATTAGAATGTTTGTCCAAACAATGACGTTTGAGAGCTTATGTTGCTTTTCATTTGTTACATTGGCCGAGCTTGATTATCATAAGTCCGACATATTTGTAACAAGTCTTTAGAGTTTTAGTGAAACAATTTCCACAAACACTTCCCAGATATGAAATGAAGGCCACTATAAGAGAGGTTTCGAGACCAGCGCTGAGATTTCGACCGATAACAACCGTCTTCCGAAAAGTCTCGCATCTGTACGACTTGTTTTGATGCTCGAAACCCTCTGAAAGCCGCACATTCCGGGGCGTACAAATGTCTCTTTGAGTAAAGCAATTCATAACTAAATTGGATTTGTGTCCCGGTCGTTATGGTTGTAAAATTGGCGTAATACTTAGCAAAGAAAACCCGATGCAATATTTATAATTTTCGAGAGATTAAAAAAGCACCAAAGGTTTCGCGAGGAGTTTATTCTGGCATTTTTAGCCTATGCCAGAGATTTCCCCTTGGAATGCTGCTAGCCGATTGAAAGTCTTTCTTTCCTCTCAGAAAATTGGTAAACAACTAGACGAATCAATAACAAATAAATTAAGTCGATATATCAATGGTCGGTAAAATCTCATGTAAACAAGATAATTTGGTTTTTGATGTATGTTTCTTGGTTTTATGCCAAAAATATCTTAATAATACCAGTTATATCTTTATAACTGCCGTTCTTCAAAAAAAACTCTTTGGTCTGTCTACATGGTCAGCAGCTCCGCAGTGATTCTATAGCGCCAAAAACAACAATTCATGAAAGAGAAGCGCAAGTTCAGGTCTTTTCCCCTACAGTACTCTTAAAGGCCGCCAAAAAGCCAGAGTTTCTGAAGCAGAGAATGTTCAGCTGTATCACAAAAACACCCGACAGAATACTTAGATCAATAGGTCATTTAAATAAAGTTGTTCCGGTTGTTATTGTGTTTCATTCATTTTTGGTAATATGAGCACATTCACAGACACAACAAGAGTAACAAAACTATGATGAGCCATTACCCGACAAGATCCTTAAGTCAGCTGTGCGTATTACATACCACTGAAGAAGTTTGAATGCAAGCAAGAGCACACAGAATGCATGCATTATGCAAGTTTAAAAGCGAAAAAATAATGCAAACCAAACTGACTGACCTTCTCCTACGAATTTATTGCGATGCCAAAAGTGTATATTAACTACTTACCTTGCAGTAACAAGAAACACTGTTCTATTGGTTATTTGAAATAGCTAACAATCTCCTTCGACCATGAATAGAGCTTTGCGCAGTTGTAACGAAATCAGGTGAATACTCCCTATAAAAGTATTGCCCTTGCCGCTGGAATCTTTCAAAAGTACGATATGAGGATTATTATCAAAATCCCACTTTATGCGATTGGCCTATTTCCAAAAAAATCTATGTTTTAACACTTGTGTCTAAGTCTGTTGTTTACTTTCGCCTTGGAGGACTTAACGAGATGTGACGCTATTTAAACAAGGTTCTTTGTTACGCAGATTCCTCAGGCAGAAATAGCGTCTGCTCTTTTAAAAAAACTAACTGAAATGGTGGCCCCTTAAAAGCATGAAAAACAACTTATCTTGGTGCATGCCTGTGCACAGCGACCTTTACATCTAAACGCAAATCCTATTGGATAAAGGTAATTTCGCTGAATTTCACCGCACAACCTTTTAAAAACAGTTTTAGCCCTAGTCAATGGATAACCACAGCGAACGAAAGTCGGAAATTCTCTCCGTCCTGCTCAAGCATAGAGGAGAGCCTGTACATTTAGAAGCTTATCGTACTTTTTTCTGCTTTGACGCTACGCTTGGCGAATAAGTTATTCGTCAATAAACCTCCTATTTTTATTCCATAAGGCAATCTCTATTATAATTTGTTTTACTACAGCACGAAGATGAAGTCTTCATTGCATTTTTTAGCTCCTACTTCTCGCAAACTAGTGCTCTTGTGTCACATTGCATGGTCCTTCATCTCACAAATACGACAAAAGAGCACAGGAAGGAGGAAATTAAGTCAGAAAGTGCAATTGAATCAGGGCGGAGATCCGCTGAAAAGGCAGCGGGAGACAAGCCAGCTTTATGATGCCCAGCTATGTTTCCTTGATTGTCCCTTGACATAGTGGGCAGTGCGTACGTGTATCATGAGTAACGTAGCAATGACGAAGAACCTTGCAGATGTGCAATGTTCCTGGAATACAACAGATGATTGCGTAACCGTAAAGCTCCATAAAATTTCATTTGATTTGATAAGGCGAGTTTAAATAGTTTAGCTTCATGAAATTATAGTCTAGGGCGTGCCGTATCCTTGCCTCATAAGGAGAATTGGGTTATTCATACAGCACAAACATGCGGAGCCAGCATTTGGTTATGGAAAAGAGAACATTTTGAGCATTGGTGACTTTGTTGAGATAAAACGAAATCGTCCTAAGAGGCCCTAGAGATTGGGATGAGAGATGGAACGATGGCGCCGGAAAGCATTTACCTCCAGACATTTGAATTCCGTTTGTAATCTTCATTTATCGTCTTACATCCAATAAAGTTTTTCGTTTGTTCTTGTTTTTAACCGGAGGGTTTATCTCCAGGTTATCCTCTTTCTCTCGCTCCACAAAAACCAACATTTTATTGAATTCTAGTTCGATTGTATAAATGACCACCTCCTAGTTGTTTTTCATATGTATTTGTGTACTTTTTTCAATGCTAATGATCGGAACATTGCAACTTGCAATCCGCACAGGTATGCTAGTTCAAAATTAGGATAAACAAAATTGTCTGGTCATGGGTCATGGGTGCATAGTTTACTCACTGCCCCAGTACTTTTGGCGAGTACGTGATAGCCTGCACGCGTATGAAAAATGCATCCGTGTTTTCAGGCAATATTCTTGCAACTCCCTCAGTGCCACCGAGGAGCGAAGAAAATATTTCTCATATTCTCTAAGCTCAGGAGTAGCTTATTGACCTCTTATCTGTTTCACGTGCACCGAGCTCTCAAAATTTCACCTCGGCGAAACGTTTCGAAAGATGTCATTACTTGAAAAAATTTTTCATCCTAGCTTAGCTGTGTTTATTAAAAAATCATAAGATCTGGTGTAATTTTGGTACTTCGA